ACTATTTCTTCACCTGATACCAATGTTGGGGCACTATTCCTTCACCTGATACCAATGATGGAGCACTATTTCTTCCACTGACACCAACAATGAGACATTATTTCTTCACCTGATACCAATGTTGGGGCACTATTTCTTCCACTAATACCAATGATGTGGCGCTATTACTCCAACTGATACCAATGATGGGGCACTATTCCTCCCACTGACACCAATGATGGGGCACTATTCCTTCCACTGATATCAATAATGGGGTATTCCTTCCATGATACCAATGATGGGGCGCTATTCCTTCAACTAATACCAATGATGGGGCACTATTCCTTCACCAAATACCAATGATGGGGCACTATTCCTTCAACTGAAAACCAATGATGGGGCACTATTTCTCCCACTGACACCAATGATGGGGCACTATTCCTCCCACTGAAACCAATGATGGGGCACTATTCCTCCCACTGATACCAATGATGGGACACTATTCCTCCCACTAATACCAATGATGGGCACTATTCCTTCCACTGACACCAATGATGGAGCACTATTCCTCCCACTGATACCAATGATGGGACACTATTCCTCCCACTAATACCAATGATGGGCACTATTCCTCCCACTGACACCAATGATGAGGCACTATTCCTCCCACTGAAACCAATGATGGGGCACTATTCCTCTTACTGATACCAATTAAGGGGCACTATTCCTCCCACTGACACCAATGATGGGGCACTATTCCTCCCACTGATACCAATGATGGGGCACTATTCCTCCCACTGATACCAAAGTTTGGAGACCCCTGATATAGGATTTTTCCTAATTATACACTTTTTTTATATATTAGGATTTAAATTCTTGTATGCTGTTTGGGCACTGTGGGCACATCCTTCTAACGTTGTCATAGTAAGGCCTCAGGCACACTGCTGCTCCTAAATGTGAGTTCAGGAGCTTTTGGTGTTTTTTTGCCAATGAGCCTGAACTCTACTCAGTAAAAGCTTGTGTGTCCATGCATGGGGAGGCTTTGTCCGGAGTTTAGGGTCAGCAGAGTTCAGGGGCAGTTAAATGTCCCTCTCCTCAACACAGAAGAATCACGTTCAGGAGAGGAACGCTTTGGCCAAAATAAATCACCAAACCCCCCAAAAAACAAGCGTAAACTTCCTACCACAATGACCCGGAATTGTTTGTCATCTTTACCCTCTATCTGGACTTCTGATTTCACTTACTGCACACTTGTTCAGTGACTGATCAAATTCTGAAACTGAAAACAGCCAGGCACTGGGCATTTTCAGCCCCAGGTCAGTGATGATGGCCCATATGATCCCACTAGAGATGTGAGTTCTGGCTGAAAGTGTGAGTCACCATAAATGAGTTTTCAGTTATAGGTGGAGTCTGCTGGGTGGAGCCTGGGGGTCCCTACACAGAGGTGACCTGGAAGGTGAAGGAGGAGGGGGATAGTTACAGAAATCACTCTCAGGTGGAGTGACCATTGAAATGTAAACTGCTCAAAAAATGAAAGGAAGACTTTGTAATCAGAGTCTAGCATCAAGACAATGACACTCATGGGATATTGGTGTGGTCAGGTAAGTAGCAGAGGGGGTTGTTCATCTGTTTCAGCTGCTTTGGTGTTCATGAAAAAAACAACAGATGCACTAGATGAATAATAAACAATAGTGCAGCGCTAACAAACTTAAATCACTATAAATACTACTTCATGGGCTTAAAAAAGCTCGATACGCAGCTTCCGGTTTCGAAGTGACGCAGTTCCGGTACGGGACGCCATCTTGAAACTCCCAGGAAGTACCACATGAATGCAGTTTACCCATGCAGGGGAGAGGAAGAGGCTGTATTTCAATGTGAGTAACTTCTGCTTATAAATAAACGCCTGCAAGCTTGATTTACTACACTATGGAGGATCTCTTTTTTTGCTCACTAATATGAGAGTGAGATTTCACAGAAATACTGCCTAAAAGACCTCATAGGTCACAGAGGAGAAAAGGTGGAGGAGGCATAATAGGAGAACTAAGGAGGTTTACCAGACGGAATTGTTGAGGATCCAGGGTGATCCTGAAAGCTCTGTGGCCCCTAGGGGTCGTAGAAAGGAGGTGAGGAGGCACTGCAGCTGGAGTGGAAAAGTGTGTTGGCACTTACACGATTGAGCACTAATTGCACATTGCATGAAGTATGCAGCGTCACTGAATTATTTTATTGGACTTATATATTCATGTGTTTGTTTATGAGATTTGAAGTGGCACTATCACGTTATTTATGCTTGTGATTTTTATTTCATTATTAATGGTTGGCACAGGAATGGGGCATTAAGATAATTTGGTCACCTTAAGATGTGTTATAATTTTCACATTTTATATATTTTCATGTTTATGCTTTTAAGTATTTCACATGTAGGTGTTTTTGGCTTTTTTAAGCCCATGAAGTAGTATTTATAGTGATTTAAGTTTGTTAGCGCTGCACTATTGTTTATTATTTATTTTTGCACTGGTTGGGTATCAGTTTGAGTGTTAGCAGCTGATAGGTAGGGATTGGGGGTCCATTACAGCGCAGGAGGAATTCTTCATTAAACAGGTGCACTAGATGGACAACAATGAGACAACCCCCAGAACAGGAATGGTTTTTTACAGGTGGCGGCCACTGACTTTTTTCTCTACTCATCTTTTCTGACTGTTTGTCACTAGTTTTGCATTTGACTGGGGTCAGTGTCACTACTGGTAGCATGAGGTGATACCTGGACCCTACAGAGGTTGCACAGGCAGTCCAACTCCTCCAGGATGGCACATCAATACATCCCATTGCCAGAATTTTTGCTGTGTCTCCCAGCACAGTATCAAGAGCATGGAGGAGATTCCAGGAGACAGGCAGGTACTCTAGGAGAGCTAGGCAGGGCTGTAGAAGGTCCTTAGCCTATCAGCAGGGCCGGTATCTGCTCCTTTGTGCAAGGAGGAAAAGGATGAGCACTGCCAGTGCCCTACAAAATGACCTCCAGCAGGATACTGGTGTGAATGTCTCTGACCAAACAATCAGAAACAGACTTCATGAGTGTTGCCTGAGGGCCCAACCTCCTCTAGTGGGCCCTGTGCTCACTGCCCGGCACCATAGAGCTGGATTGGCATTTGCCATTGAACCCCAGAATTGTCAGGTCCACCACTGGCACCCTGTGATTTTCACAGATGAGAGCAGGTTCCCCCTGGTCTGGAGAAGCCGTGGAGAATGTTCTGCTGCCTGTAACATGGTTCAGCATGACCGTCTTGGTGGTGGATCAGTGATGGTCTGGGAGGCATATCCATGGAGGGGGACACAGACCTCTACAGGCTAGACAATGGCACCCTGACTGCCATTAGGTATCGGGATGAAATCCTTGGACCCATTGCCAGACCCTACGCTGGTGCAGTGGGTCCTGGGTTCCTCCTGGTGCACGACAATGCCCGGCCTCATGCAGTGAGAGTATTCAGGCAGTTCCTGGAGGATGAAGGAATTGATACCATTGAATGGCCCCCATGCTCGCCTGACCTAAATCCAATAGAACCCCTCTGGGATGTCATGTTTCGGTCCATTTGACGCCTCCAGGTTGCACCTCAGACTGTCCAGGAGCTCAGGGATGCCTTGGTCCAGATCTGGGAGGAAATCCCCCAGGACACCATCCATCGTCTCATTAGGAGCCTCCCCCGACGTTGTCAGACATGCATACAAGCATGTGGGGGCCACACAAACTACTGAGGACTCGCCTGCTGCATCATTTCTTCACTTTGATTTTTGGGGTGTCTTTGAATTCAGTCCTCTGTAGGTCGATCATTTCCATCAAACAATGGGGCATCCTTACATTCCTAACACATCACCCCGTCCATGTCAGTATAGAGATCCAGCAGGAGATTCTTCCCCATTCGGATCTGATGGGTTTTAAAATTATTATTATACAGTATTTATAGAACGCCAAAAAGGTTTGCTCAGCACTGTACATTATAGTGGGGACAGTACATGAGACAATACAGTAACAATACAATACACGAGGGGTTTGAGGGCCCTGCTCTTTCGAGCTTACAATCTAGGGGGGAGAGGAAAGTGGTACAGGAGGAAGTGGCTGTGGGGGATGGAGTGGTAAGAGGAGTGGAGGAGATCGGTTGTTAGGTGAGGGTGGGGTAGGCTTCCCTGAAGAGATGGGTTTTTCAGGGTGCGCCTAAAGGAGAGGAGGTTAGGTGACATCCTGATGGATTGGGGTAGTGAGTTCCAGAGGATGGGGGAAGTCCTGGAGAAGTCCTGCAGTCTGGCGTGGGAGGTGGAGACCAGGGAGCTAGAAAGTAGGAGGTCTTGTGAGGAGCGAAGATTACGGGTTGGGTAGTATTTGGGTATCAGGTCGGTGAGGTAGTTTGGGGCAGCGTTATGAATGGCTTTGTATGTCAGTGTTAGTAGTTTGAATTTAATGCGTTGGGCAATGGGGAGCCAGTGGAGGGAATGACAGAGGGGGGTGGCGGATACGGAGCGGTTGGCAAGGTGGATGAGTCTAGCCGCTGAGTTCAGGATAGACTGAAGCAGGGATAGTCTTCCTTTTATTTTTTTGAGTAGTGGTTTAGCTGCAAACGAAGTGATTGTCAGTCAGTAACAGTCATGTGACTTCTCTGAGGACCTTTGTACTGACAAGCTGGAACAGGAAGAGCGAGGAGGAGGATGACTGCTTTCACTTTCTTTGTATCCCAGTCTGAGCTGACACTGTGCCGAGGACAGACAGACGCCGAGCTCCACCTCAACCCACCGAAGGAGAACGCATACAGGCCAAGCGACTCTTCATAAAGGTGGTAAAATCTGCAACCCTAGAGGGAGCTCAGGACTGCTGGGACTTGTAGTCCTATTCCAGCTATATGGACATTGGGAATTGTAGTGCTCCCCTGACGTGAAAGTGACCATCGCTGAAGTTACTGTGATCCCAGAAGCTCCTCCAGTATCAAACTCATGTTAGGGGAGCACCACAAGTCCCAAAAGTCCAATTTTGACAATGTCCTGTAGTATGCCTGCAGTCTCTGACCACCTCCTGTAGTATGTCTGTTGTCTCTCACCATCTCCTGTACTATGTCTGCAATCTCTGACCATCTCCTGTAGTATGTCCGCAGTCTCTGACCATCTCCTGTACTATATCTGAAGTCTCTGACCATCTCCTGTACTATATCTGAAGTCTCTGACCATCTCCTGTAGTATGTCTGTTGTCTTTGACTATCTCTTGTAGTATGTCTGCATTCTCTGCCCATTTCCTGTATTATGTCCGCAGTCTCTAAAAATCCTCTGTGGTATGTCTGCAGTCTCTGATCACCTCCTGTAGTCTGTCTGCAGTCTCTGACCATCTCCTTTATTATGTCTGCAGTCTCTGACCATCTCCTGTATCATGTATGTAGTCTTTGACCGTTTCTTCTAGTATGTCTGCAATCTCTGACCATTTCCCTGCTGAAGGCAGAGCAGTCTGCAGTCTCTGACAGTTCTCTGTATAGTTACATTTACTGAATATTATCTGTGGCCCTTTGGTGATGTCAGGGACCATATTTGAAGCCCTCTACTTCAAGTAAGTTGACCCTCAGCGATCTAAACTTATGGTTGAGTTACTGGTGATAAATCTGTACAGGGATCTCCTCATATCTCATATCAAGAAAAACAAATGGGGTCTCTATGTAGCCCTGGGGCTGCTACATTGTAATAATTGGGGTCACAGTTTGGTGTCTTCTCAGTAACAGAACTCACTCCACCAACAGATCAGAAATGGAAGATCTGGAGAAGATCCTCCCCGGGGAAAGTGTGTGTGGGGGGGGGGGGGGGGGGGGGTTGTCATCCACCTCCATAGAACATGATTCTAGTCTCACATTTCTATCAGGTTGCAGCTCTCTAATATTTGGAGAACATTTAGTATCTGCTGGAACAGATTGTACATGACTTGTTATATATAGTTTTCTCTTTTTGTCTTTCAGATGTCTTTCTTCTCTATAATCCGGAGTATTATACTCGTGGTGAGGAATGTTGGTTATTTGATCTGTAGGGATTTTTTTTAGAGGAATTATGTTGAGTTTTGCAGTTTTGATCATATTTGATCCGTGACGTCACCCAGGATCCCCGGCCCATTTGTTTATCTGGCAGGGATCTGTCATTTAGAGCAGGAAGTGCTACCACTGATAAATGGCAGTTCCCTGGCCAATGTTTGTAAAAGGAAGTCACTTATAAAGGTGTACGTCCTACTACTCTGCAACTTCACGTGTAGGTGGAAGATATCCTCCAACCAGGTTATTTAAAGAGTACCTCCATGTTTCTTGGGGGGGAAAATAGCAAATTCAAAAAATATATATAGCAAATACAATTGTGACACAAGTCATATTTAAATTGAACGCTATCCAAAATATCCTTTCCTTGTCAATCTGCAGATGCTGTAAATTTCTGTAAAATTCAATATGGCAACCTGGAGGAGTTCTGTATACAGACAGTATACAGAACGCCTCCCGGGTATGTAAATTCCTGCTTGTGTGATTGGTTCCCTGATTTTCCCAGCAGTCTGCTCTAAGATTCAAGTCAGATTTTGGGCATCCCCTGCAACAAAAACGTAATTTTTGGTGAGATACTCCCAAAGGGAATTCACATCTAAAGGGATGCAGACCCTGCCACTTTCCTCATTAGAGCTCTGCAGGTACAGCAGCAGCTGATTGATAATTACGAAGTCACTCCCATACAGATTCACTTTGCACATGGACACAGAAAAACAAACATCCCTTTCTTCAGAATAACAAAATGTAGAAATCTTCAACAAAGTTTGCAATGTACATTGCAATGTGCACAGGTCACCCAGAGGGGAGGGGTTTTTCTCCACAAAAGTGGAGTTACTTTTTAACTACTTCCAGTCCGGACACTTCCCCCCCCCCCCCCCCCCCCCCCCCCCCCCCCTGTCCAGGGCAATTTTCAGCTTTCAGCGCTCTCACACTTTGAATGACAATTGCGCGGTCATGCAACACTGTACCCATATGAATTTTTTAGCATTTTTTGAGACAGATAAAACTTTATTTTGGTGGTATTTAATAACCGCTGGGATTTTTATTTTTTTTGCTCTGTAAATGAAAAGTCCACAAATTTTGAAAAAAGTTTTTTTTTTATAAAATTTTGCAAATAAATAATATTTCATCATAAATCTTGGCCAAAATGTATTCCATTATATCTTTTAGTAAAAAAAAATAAAAATAAGCCAAATTAGTTTAAAACCAAAAATTATAATTTTTAAACATTTTTTTTTAAACATTTTTATTTTATATTATTGTTGGTTTTTTTACATACGGTCACCCTAGCAGTACAGTGTCACCATGGTGACACTGTACCACTTGTGGGGGGTGATGAAGATTTTTTTTTTTTTTTTACACTGATTGCTTTTACACCCATATAGGATGTAAAAGCAATCATTTCTCTTTCTCTCTGTCTGCATTCTTGCAACCATTGAGAACTACTGAGTGAGCTGTGATTGGTCACAGCTTGTCACATGGTACAAAGCTGTTGTGAATAGCCTTGTACCATGTGACCTCTGTGATCATTCACAGATTTTACACATAGTAAGTAATGATGTCACAAGTGACATTTTGCTTACTACTTTGCATGTGATCACTGATTGGCCAATCAGTGATCACATGATCGGGACCTCACACAGAGGGCCCGTCTGATGATCGGTGTTTCACTGTGTCCAGAGGACACAGCAGGCACCGGATCGCGGTGCTGCACGCTCCCAGGGAGCACGCACAAGCAGGGTGCGGGGAGGCCGTTTATAAACGGCCACTTGACCCTGAACGCCCACCATCTGGCCGTTTATATACAACGGCCGGATGGGAGGTGGTTAAAGCAGATAAGTAAACAAGCAGGTCACCCTGGCAGATGATGAGGGCTCACCAGAGGCACAGGATCTAAGCACTAACTGGTTTCCCCCAGAGCTCCTGATGGTGGAGATGGTTTAACTAGTTAGTACCAGGTTGTGGTCCCCAAGATCGCCCCACCAGGGATGAGCAAGCTGGGGTTCAATAGCAGGTATAGCAGGTAGGGATCAAGTAGAAGAGTAGTGAGAAAGCAATCCGAAGGTCAGTAACAAGTGGTTGCAGGTTGGATTCAAGCAGAAGTGTAGCCGAGGAACAAGCTAAGGTCAGTAATGAGTTGTAGTAAAGATACGGACAGCAGCAGGAGCAAAAGGAGCAAGATATTGGCTGGAGAAGAGCACAATCATCTGGCAAACAAGAAGTGCAAAGGCATGGCCTAAATAGGAAGATTGTGGGAGGAGCAAGGAGTTCAAGGCTCACAAGAAACAAGATAGAAAGTACTTTTACCTAAGGAAGCATGCAAAGAGCTGCCCAGTATCTTAGGTGGCTCAGCATGAAAATCTACTGCCCGATGCAACAGAGGTCGTGGGTTCAGGTCCTGATCCTAACACTCCCATAGATCATATTGGGATTTGGGCTTAGCCAATTTGTTTGCTGAGACGGTTGAACCTCCTGCAAACAGAACTCTATCCTGTTCTCTCCCTAAAAATGACCAACAGAATATGCCTTCCCATGCATAGAAAAGCACAGCGAATACATAGATTTCTATGGAGCCATGAAAGGAGCTTCAGCTTAGTGCTGGGAGTTCGATGTTTGTTTAAAATGCAAGAAGGTTTGCAAGTAAATTTGCTGGCTTGGGTAAGTCAGCTATCAAACTGCCCCCCTCCCCCCTTCTTTCAGGGGCATCCCAAAGTATAAAAAAGTAAAGCAAATTATAGAAATAACAATCACCAGACCAAAACTGAGTCCAGAGATGCCTTTTATTATTCATAATTTCAGCAAACATAGACAGCCAACATGTTTCAGGAGGAAAAAACTCCACCTTCATCAGGGCTGCAAAACATATAAAATAATGAATAAAAGATCAGCATGAATAAAAGAATAGAATATAATGAATAAACACAACACATATTTCATTTATTGTCCCTTAACACACTGGACTGGTGCTCCCTCTTTTGTTTTCCTGCATCTGGTGCTTACAGATTACCATGGCCTGGGGAGGTCAGAGGGGCTCAGTGCATCTTTGAGGACCAAGACCACGTCCATGGACTTGAGATACATGCAGTAGAGAGTATCTTCCCATTACATTGTTGCCACACTTGAGCACAGAAGATTGTTTGTTTTGTTGTTGTCTTATATATTTTCTGTATTGATAAATTAAAATGTGTTGTACTTTTGGGGGTTTTGTTCCAAAGTACTGAACTTTAAAGTCCTATTCAACATTGGAACAAAAGCCTAAAAAAAAGGATACATTAGGGAGCATTATATCTAAAATTACCTCTATTATCCAATATATTGGTTATCAAACATTTGCATAGCAGTTCATGCAGTTCAAGTTTTGTACGTGTTCTCTGTGAACATTGTAACAGATCAATATTAATATACTGTTTGCTGTGATAGACAAATATTTTTATCAATTTAAAAAGCAAAATACAGCATTTGTCCAGTAGATAGAGCACTTGTGTCAAATACATGGAATCTGGCCCACCAGGTCATTTCATGTGGCCCTAGCACCTCTCCTGCTGCTGCAGCACTCCTCCCCTCTCCCCTTGTCTCTGCCCCACCTTGTCTCAGCAGTCGGCAGCAGAGAGGAGGACAGAACTCCTCCACCAGATCCTGTGCTTCTTAATGCAGCCATGAAGAGACTTGTCCATCCCAGCAGTCAGCAGCAGAGAGAAGGACAGAGCTCCTCTAAAGATGCTGAGTCTCTCTGTACAGATGCAGCACTCCCTTGTCTCTGCCACTGCAGGTCTCAGTATTCAGAAGACTCCTTACTCCTGTGGTCCTCCTCCAGACACTGCACTTTCTGCTTCTCAGCTCCACCCCCAGCTTCTTCCTGGCAGTAGCAGAAGGTAAGAGGGGTGCACTGTGATGTAAGGAAGTGAGGGAACTCTTGACTTCTGATGGCGGGGGGGCTCTTGACATCTGATGTAAGGGGGGGTGGAGCTCTGGACGTCTAGTCTTCCAGCCCCAAAGAACAAACGTACATGATGTGTCACTGGGGAAATTGTGATGCAAATTCCTCATAAGTGCACCCTTTGTGTTAGTGCTACTGACAGACTGCATCATGTGTATCTTTTATGTATTTCTCCCAGAGTTCTTACCATGGCTGTATTTTTTGTTTCCCAGGTCTGGAGTCTACCCAAAAATGCAGTTTTTGGTTTGATTGCAGAAATCAGCCCGGGAAGTGTTGTCGGTATATTTTCCGGGGAGATGAGCGCTCTTACAGTTTCCTGTGCGATGCCCTCAGATGCCAGAATTTACTGATCAGAGAAGTTCGAACAACCCTCATAACAAACAATGGATGGTCCGGTTTCAGGGAGGAGGCATCCCGATGTGACTTTGCCATTTTGTATCATTC